ACAGTGCTGATTTATTCAATGATCACAGGTAAAAATTAACATTACACGCTCAGGTATCTTGCACCTCCACACTGCTCGCAGGCTGATGAAAGACCCTGAACCACAACAGGCCTGTACATTATATCTGTTTTGGGCTAACCCCACTCTACACAGGAACGTCAAACTGTGACGTCACCTGATGTGCCAGCTATGCAACTGGCCAGAGCAGTAGTCAGAACATGAAGAAAATCAATGTGTGTGTGTCTGTTGATTAAGTGGTGTGTAGCTAAAAACATTCTCACGACCTCTAGTAACATGTCGTGACTTAAACATAAGAACATATTATGGCTAAGGCTACAGTTATACACGTCATAATAATAATATTAAACACCCTGTCTGCTGACAGTCATCAACTCTTCTCTCTAGTTATCCTTGACCAGATGTACCCTGTGGAAACTCATAAGCATGACTAAGCATTTAACTGTAACTAGACATCCTATCTCCACTAAACATTTCTAATACATAAAGTATCTATCCAATTTCTATCTGACTAAAAATACCTAACAATTAACTTGATAAAATCCTTTTGTCAAAAGACAATTGAGAAGCAAATGACACAGAACAAAGAAAATGGAATAATTCAAAGCCTAGATCGGGGAAGGAAAACATTACAGACATCTACCCGAACCTGATCAGACAGCTGCTGGCAACACGATTTTTTTAGGAAGAATCAGGGCCAAGACAAAGCATCAGGAAATGCCACCAGTTACTTCATATCACTAAAATCACCTTCACAAAGTGTCCAACTAATAATCCAGCTGACTGAACATGGTGTGCAGCCAGCGCCATCTACATACAGACACACCTGTCTATAAGATGTCACACTACAGCCAGTTCTAATGAAAGAGTCCACAATGACTGAAAAAGTTGCAGCAGAGACAATTAATTTTCTAATGTGATGTCTCGGTACTTTTCCATCAAAACAGCTTTTACCTCTGACAAATTGCCAATCTAATTGTGTTGATTTTTCCAAGTGAACACACACATCTCCATTTGCAAAATTAAATTGGCCAAACATAATCAAATTATACTGCAGGTGAGTGCAAGTTTTCATTTGCTGCCGTGGCGACCGGGTGCTATAATGTGACTGTTTTGTCAGTTGAGTCGACGCATCATTCCCCTACCCCAAAAAGAAAACCAAACAAAACAAAAACACCAGTCCTAACACACACTGGACAGACTAACGTGGTCATTAGCAAAAGACAGATTTCCCCAGGAACACGTATCAGCACAGGCCTGACGTGGAAACAGACTGTAGCTGGAAAATGTCTGGCAGGAGGAGCCCGCTCACTAACCCGGTGACAACCCTCACAGCCAGGCCCCCCTCTGCTTCTAAAGCTCAAAGCCTGGCTGTGTAGGTTGTGCTCGCCCTCAATGAAGGCGCCAGGGACGGTAACTAGCACAGAACCCAGTGTAATAGTAAACAGAAAAGAGCAGGGCAGCATCTGTTTCATGAAGTGGAGGAAAATCAAAGTCATTCACACAGCAGTACATTGATAATCCAATATTTATGCTTTTGTGTAGCACTGATTTCAGGTTTGAAAAGCCCAACAAACAACAACCTGGCTGCTTTGATGTCTGCATGTATGATTCAGGTTTGATCCCAGCTAACTAGGATGCCGTTCAGCAATAGAACGGGGCACTGTTTGTCGAAGAAGAGCTCCGAATTACTTGAAATTCATATTTGAATATCTCTCAAATATATTTGTGCATTGAGGACAACAACAAGGCAGAAAGATATTCCTAGAAAGTTGAGGCACATACTTTGCAGTTGTAGAAAAAGGTTAACAAGTCTTGATCTATGCAGCTACATCATATAAAAAAAGATTTTCTAAAAAACAACAACAATCCTGCTCAGGGTCTCGGCGCTGCCTTGACTTTTCTTATAGTTTTGTAGAAACGTATCTGATCTGATCTGTAAAGTCAGTCAGACCTTGAGTTGTCTTACTTTTTCATTTTTTAAATGGCAGGTAGCTCGTTTTGGAAAAACACTACAACCAAAGTCAAGTGGGGGTAAAGGACGGGCAGGATAAGGACAGTGACTTGGTCTGAGAAGATGGTAACACTTTGTTTTACAGGTCTGTAAATTACAGTTTACATCCAGATAATTTCCTAAGATGTTCCCTAGACAGCACCCTATATTTGGTAGAATTTGGAGCTAAAATTAGAGCGTGATCAGTTGGTGCACACATGCTAAGCTAGTTGAGACGTGAGCTACACATCAGAGTGTTAAATCTGTCTACACACCAACCACACAATTCAGCATAAATGAAGAATAACATTTAAAATAATAAATAGTAACTGGAGTTTAAATCAAGTCATTTCATTCAATAAAATTCCTCTGGAAGCCAATAATAAAAAAGCAAGTCTCAGAATGCCGTCTCTATTTTTCAGTAACTTGTACCAAAGTACATGGTTGTCTACAGGAAATTGTTGGATAGTAGACCTGTAAAATAAAGAGTCACTGAGAAGACTCTCACTTCCACATAATAAATGCATGAGTTGCCTGAGTGTAAATGCCACTGATTATCTGACTAAAAGTCAACAAGCAGAAGATGCAGTCGGTGACAGGAGAGTCCGTCCCAGTGGAGCCGATAGTTTCAAAGACGAGGAGGATCAAAGTATCGGTGATGGAGCCGACTCTCTGAGCGCTGCCTTCAGATTCCTGTCAAGCAGCTATCCAGTCAGACACCCAGAGGGAGACGGGGGGGACACGGGGAGGGAAAAGACAACGCTGCTACAGCAGTGCTCGCAGTGTCTGGTTGGCACTGTACTTAGGAAACACAGAGCTGGTTGTATGGACCTAAATATTGAGTGTAATTTATTTGGGTTGAATTGTTCTTTTTCTTTCATAAATTTACTTCACTAATAAAGCTTCACAATTGAATCATATTGTCACCACATACCGAAAGAACAATAATAAAACAGGCAGAATACTGAGGAAGTACAGGAGGGGATTATGTTTTCTTTCCACTTGCCTTCAGCGGGTTTAGAGGAAACTGGTAGTGGATTTATCAAAGTGTAATGACTTGTCATCTCAGCTTCACTGCTGCGCTATGCAAATCAGGTTTGGAGGGTGAGGAGGTGTCGCCACGGACTCTTACCACCCACTACACTCATTTAACAAGTCCTTTAATCACTTGTCTCCTGTTCTGTCTGTCTGCGTCTCCTCATGGATCTATCTTTTTAATCACATGTATTTTTAAAGCACGTCTCTTCTCAATGCTTGCACTCGTTTAATGCCTCTTTCTCTCTCTCATGCTGCTCTTTCTATTTTTATTCACAATGACTTTTAACATCTTACAGTACCTGTGTTTTTCCCTCTTTGAACAGGCAGCTTGGTGCAGGAAAAGGCAGCTGTGAATGCTGCCCACGGTCTCCCTTTTCTCCAACCTCAACAACACTGCTGCACCACACTGAGAAAATGTGCAACCTGGTAAATCCATTAATGCCTCTGATCAAGTCCCATCTTATAAGAAAGAAAAAATGAAAAACTGCAGCTGTTGGAGGCCGAGCATAAAGATGTAAAACTGACAGGAAAAAGATGGAAGTCTGGTGGATGGAGCCAAAAATAAGATCTCTCCCTCCCTGTGTTTCACTAACTGACTTTTTCTCCTGCTCTGTCCATCATGTCGGGCCACTGTGACTGAATCGGTCGCTCTGTGGTCAAGCTGTTGCTTTGTGATTGTCC